TGTTTTCACTCCGAAAAATATTTGCTGATAGAATGTACCACTGATGACAAGTGTAGAGTTATTCGATATGTAAAAGTGCATTTTGCATTAGTTCCAACGGGCACCAGTGTTAGTACAGAGAATATCAAAAAGTTGTCAACACCAGCTCAGCATTAGTAAAACTGCAATTTGTGAAGAAACCTGGCAATCATATCCTGAGCCGTTAAAATATCTGTCATATTTCTTTCCAAACTAAGAGCAAGCGTATTTATTTCTCCTAAGAAAGCTGAAACTTCCCCATTTTAGAAATAAATACATTGTTATTATTTTGTGTAACCCGTACTCCTTAACCTTTTGTAGTTCTTTCATCTCTATAAACGTAGCAACTAATTCGCGAAATTCGCGCACACGGTGCAACACCTTGCCGTGTGATAACCAACACCCTTCTGTACGGAATAACAACAGGTAAAATTTCCTTCCAAATTCATTGAAAACTCTTCTCTTTGTCACATATAATTTTCAGTACCTTGGTAAATGTGTCCTGCAAACCAGATAAAAGGTTTCATTGCTCGAGCATAACGATGTATAATGAAGTGGCTAGAGACAGCATGCATAATAACATGTTTCACTAGTGTTTGGAATCCGGAACGAAAGCCAGACGTGGATGGTTCTCCGTCTGCATAGACAGCCACCAACTGCGACCTCAGTAGCATCTTTTATTCGACAAAAATCTTTAGTATTGCTCATGAGTGGGAGGATTTCAGTTCTAATTTAATGTATTCATTCCAGCACCTCACAAGCTAAATGACACAATCCTATCTGGAAAACCACCAGACGTTCCTTTTACCCTATTGGGACTCGTCAGTGGTGCTCACCTTTCGGTCCCCTACTGCGGATCGAACCCAGGACCGCTAGAGGCTAAAGCCAACTAGCTAGCAGCTTATACCATCGAGCCATCGGGGGCCGCGGCTGGGCTACATAAGTTGCAATCTAATTGAGATATAGCACGACCGATACATTAACATCCTTTAAGGTTCGGAGGACGACTTCTTCACGTACAGTGGTGCTCAGTGATGCTGAGAACAAGTACGCTTTGTTGAAGCCGTCGCCTTTTACGTACCGAACATAGACAAGCAGCATGGAACAAAGGGTCACATTGATCGACTCAGCTAATTGTTGGGCTAGGAAGGACTTGACTTTATTTTATTGAGCACTCTGTCCGAAATATTCCAGCTCATGTCCTCGATGCACTATTGGTGCTGCAGTTAGAAATCGATGTCATGTTTATCTTTTCGCATGTTGTTTTCCAAAGTCAAACTTAACCGCATCCAGTATGCATGGTTTGATGAGATCCACTCCTATTGTATGAGGTTTCCTGTTTTCGGCGATTCCAAGAGGGCCACCTTCATTTGAATGATACATATGATTTTCGTAGTAAGTTTGTTTGGCGACTGATTGATGACGCATTCCTCGTACTTTAAACGTGGGGTGTACAAAAAGAAACCGAACTTTTGAAATAGCGCGCCAATCGGCAGTGGGAGCATGCTGCGTCTACTGAACGCATGTGGAGGCTTGTGTACACAACAATCTGCCATTTGCCGCATTTCGCTCTGACTGTTAGCGAGTAACAGCCGCTGAAGTGAGCACATGCACAAGATGTTTGTCGGATTAGTGCCAAAGCGAGAATGAAAGAGCTTGAAGAACAACATGTGTGTGTGGGTGCAATTTTGCTTTAAACCTGACAAAACTTTTGTAGAAATATCTCCATTGGTTAGCCAAGCATACCAGGAGGACTGTAGGAGTCAGATGTAGTGCTATGTGTGGTTTAAGTATTTTAAACAAAGCAGCATGTCAGTCGGTGACCATCTCAAACTTGGAAGACGTCCCACATCAACAGACGATGAGCATGTCGAGAGAGTTTGTGCTGTGGTCCGTGGAAATCGTCGTTCAGCTGTTCGAGAAGTTGCTGACGAAGTGGGTATCAGCGTAGGATCATGCCATCAAATGCTAGCGCGTTTGCGGGATGCTATGAACAGGAAAAGGTTTAAGCTCTGGCAAAACCATACTTGGATATTGCCTCATGACAATGCGTTGGCTCACGCACTGTTCCCATTGTGGCCCATCCACCATATTCGCCGGACCTAGACCCTGGGGACTGTTTTCTGTTTCCAAAACTTCAAAGCACGTTGAAAGGACGTCGTTTTCAAACCATAGAGGAGATTCAGCCCAATGCGAAAACAGACCTGCGCGCCGTCCCCGAAAGTGCGTTCCAGGAGGCATTTCAAAAAGGAAGCACAGTTGCGAACAATGTATTGTCAGTAGAGGGGAATACTTTAAGGGAAAAGTGTTTAAAAGGTTGGATAATGAGCAATAAAGTTGTTATAGTAAAATTGCGATTTCTTTTTGAATACCCCTCCTATTAACCCCGGTAAGATTCCAGTTGACCCCCTTGGGAGTAATTACCCCAGCTTGAGGAACACTGGTTTAAATAACTGTCAAGTAACAAACGATGGAGAAACGAAAGCAAGCGACTGAGCATTGTAACAAAAAATATATGAATCAAGATCAGAAATCAATTCAGAGTCAATTGAGCATTCCGTAACAGGTCCTACCTTAGAGATATTTTACAACAATTTGCCAGCACACCCGTCTGTTTGCCCACAAGCACCAAACTAGCTGAGCCACTGTCACAGTTCTTCCAAAGGTGCTTCGATGAACAGCAAGTCCCCAGTATGTGGAAACTTGGTATTACAACCCCATTTGTTAAAGGCGCTAGCAGTTCAGATCCTTCAAACTATTGCCCAGTGACTCTCCCCCACGTGCTCGCGAAGATGATGGAAGCAGTAATCGCTGAGGCTCTAATGGAGTAGCTGGAAAAATGAAACATCTTGGAACCGGAGCATATGGCTTCCGTCAACACCGGTCATGCACCAACAACCTGGTAATGGCACGAGGTAGCTGGACGGAAGTGGCTGCTTATGGGGTCGGAGTCGATGTCATCTATCTGGACTTCTCCAAAGTTTTCGACCACCTGGATTACCGCATCCTACTTCACACGCTACAGAGCTACGGAATCGGAGATCCTGTTCTTGGTTGGGTTGGCAACTTCCTTCATTAACGGAAGCTTCGTGCGTGTTAGGGGATCACCCGCTAACCCAAATGAGGTGGAATGTGGTGAGTCATAGGGCTCGGTGCTTGGATCGTGCTTATTGCTGGTGTTTAGCAACGGCCTGGCAAGAGTTATCTCCCCAAATTTCCTGCTTTTCGCCGATTATGTTACGATAGGGCTGGCGATTAGTAACAATGAAGTTCCCCATCTACTCCAACATGACCTCGATTGCTTTTATGAATGGGCAACGAGGAACCTGCTTCAGTTGGACATAGCTAAGTGAAAGGTGATTTATCTGTGTCACTAGCCGGTGACCATTTAGAAGCTTGAAGACCACACCTTGCAGAAGGCCTCTCAGGAGCGTGCTTTGGGTGTATTGATATAGGAAAATCTCCGATGCTCAAAACAAGCAGAGATGCCGTCGAGAACCTTCAGTCAACACTTTGGCCTTCTTCACAGAGCATTCGGTCGCTTTGAACCCTCAATCTTCTCCCAAATGTTTAAGGCCATTGTGAGACCGCAAGTGGAATATGCTATCCAGGCGTGGCATCCGTGGCAGAAACAGGATCTCTTTGCTCTCGAGGCTCTTTAAAGAAGGGCAACCAAGAACGGTAGGGATCTCTTTGATCTGCCCTGTCAGCTTAGACTGAAATCTCTAAGAATGTACAGCAGTCGATATAGGCGTTTGCAGGGGAAATCTTATAATGGTTTACCACATTATGAAGAATTTACAACATATTTGCCGCCCACTGCTGTAGCTGAACCACAACACCAACCTAAGAACTCATCCTCTGAAACCGACAATACAGTATAGGCGGCTTGAATGCTGTAGAGATTTCTTTTCACTCCGCGTGTGCCAACGTTGGAACGCTCTCCCTAATTATGTCCTCTCTGCCCCGAATCTAGCGATATATATGAAACCAGTTGACGATGCGTTGTCCCGTTTGCATTTCATTCTATAACTTGTTAGCCAGGGTGCTACAAAATGCAATCAAACAGTGTCATACCAAACTCCAAACCAATGCATCTGTGGATTTATACTTTTAACACGCGAACATCGTTATGCTACATAACTGTATGGCGGGTCCACCAAAACGCTTTTCACTTTATCATAAAATTTTGTTTTCGCAATAATTTCCACCCCATGGGAATTGTTAAGCATTGCTTTTTTGCCCGTAATACACCACTGTTTCATTCAATAACCTAACAAATATTCATCTTAAAGTAACAATGACGTGAGCAGATAGTTCCGGAAACAACCGTCCTCCGGCGAGACCAACTGAAACACTTCATGCCTATGGTCCTAGCAGAACCGATAAATCTTTTCCAACTAAGGTGCAGATGGCTTGTGTGGTTTGTCTTAGCGTCGAATTTGGTGAAGTGAATCCATAAGCGGTGGTACCATATTATTATTATTATTATTATTATTATTGCACTGGGATTTTGTTTCTCTGTTCATCCACAAAATTTTCGTTTTGCACCGCCACTGTTCAGTTATTATAATGCTAGAAAACTTGTGCCCGATTGATGTTTCGATAACTGTGCTGAATAAACTAATGGACCACAAAATCAAACACTTAGCTAGAGGCTAATGATCTGGTCTTGAGTATTCGAAAAATCATGATATACATCTTCGGTCGCACAACGACTGTCCGAATGTCAAAATCACCTTTGATTGGTGGACGGGCACCATCTTTCGAGTGTATAGAAATGCTTAGGTAAGTATAAGCAAACATGCAGACGTGCATGGTTCTGGTAACCCGTAGCGGCTAACATCTGACGGATGTCAGCATGTCTTTGGAAACAGAAACATGTTAAGGCAGGTAGTGAAAACCGCTTGTGAATTATAACTTCAGCTGTAAAAAAATCGAAACAGCATCACTAAGCCATTTATAATTCAGCTTGATCTCACCTGCGGTGCGCAACATTCGTGTTTCGGCAGAGTTCACCGACGACGCAAGGGCTGGGTCCTTTTGAAAACATGGGCCAGTTTCCAACGTCTTTGCAATACACATTGGTTGGAATGACTCGGTTTCCCCAGTAAATGCCTGCGAGCAGCTGGTGTTGGCTGCCTCTGTACAGTTCGCAGTAGGTGTACACTTTTCACTTAATGGAACCAAAGTTTCCGAGGCAAGTAACTTATCCTTTGTCTCTTCCAAGGTGGCCTCGTAATCAATCTGGTCTAGATGAATTTGACAGGTTGCCAACTGCGAGTCTGCAAGCCGCTTCGACAAGTCTACGTTGGGATGATGCAACTGAGGAAAATCGCTGGCCTCTGTTACTGCTATAGGTAGTTGGATTTGGGGATTCGGTATTGCGTGTTTAGCTGACCACACTGTTTCGTCGCCGTCTAAACGTTCAACCGTCGGACCATTTCCACCCAACGATCCAGTGACATTGTCGACCAGCATCGCTGTCACTGCCGAGGTATTGATGGAGATACAGCTACCGCTATCTGTGCTGCACACATCATCACAGCACTCGCGCACGTGCTTGCTTGGTCCGAACTCTGCAGCGGAATGCTTCTGTTTGGCCTCAAATGGAAGGCAGCTCTTGGTGGCCAGTTCGGTTGCTTGAGTGCAATGCTTTTCGTGTACGATTGCGGCGCTAGGTACCTTATCAAGCCACCGCGGTTTACTGCCATCTTCTACAAACCAAAAGAAAGGATATGGGTGGTTTCGTTAAGAGTAACAAACCGTGCATACAGTAACAGGTTACGGCGGACCTTCGATCTAGCTATATATTCTCGTACTCGTCACGTTCACCGGTACATAGGCATTTAAGGATACCCAGAAAGGTGGCTCCTCTTTGGTGGATAGGGTTGTAGTGATAAAGATGATCGCAATTGATCCAACCATATACGCTAATCCCCGTCGCATTAGAGAGTACGTTTTAACCCTGTGCTCTTTATGTAATTAAATCATCTTAGTGCCTGTGTAATTGTCATAGTTCACGAAGCTTCTGATGTATTTTTAGTCATGAATTCATAACACAACAGGCTCGGGAGAATGTGAGGCCCCTGGTGTGAGTCCGGGTGCCTATGACGTGAGGAAAGGAAGGCTGCAATGAAACTGTCCTGCCGATGCTGTGTCCTCTCTCTGCCTGGTAGCCAGCTGTTTGTGACGGGGTGTAAATGACAAGCTGTAGGCGCTTTGATCCCGCTTGTTTGCTCATCGCATTTGCGTTCTACGCATCGTCTCCATTCTTCCCCTCCGATGGTTGCTCACTACATAAGTCATTGTGGTTGTGCAGTGGCGAAGCAACAGTTCACATGATTGATGTAAGTATTGTTTTTGCTGTTGTTATTGTTTGTTGGTATTGAGGGGACCGGCAATACACAGCTATGGTTATAGATTTGAACAGGCTCTCTAAAGCACTAGCTAACGGCAGCGCTGAAGTGACAAGCATTTACACACAATTAATGTGACTTTTCACATACAGGTTCGCCCCCAGGTCTTCGTTCAGTTACCATTATGATGTGCCCATCAAATTCACTAGGCCGAACTAGAAAACAATGGAGCTCCTTACTGGACCACGGACTGCATAGAAGAGAACCTCACGATACTTGCACAAGCTGCAAAGAGTAGTGACTCGACACGGCGTTACACTCAAAGTGGTTGTATCGCTGTGATATCTCCTCAGTTCTGGGTTTGGGTCTTGCTGCAGCGCTTTAAGGGGGTTGCGAAATATATTAGAAGGATTATTTCAAATGTGCCCGCCTATCTGCTCAGTTAGAAGCATGAATAAATAGACATGATTTTACTTGATGCATAAGCGGACAACTACAACTGTCGTGTCGGTGCAGTGTAAGTAATACAGCCTCTTAGCGATAGCTCAGCCATACTTGTTGGGAATATAGGCAGTTAATGAGCTTATTGTGAGGCGTACTCGTAGGTGAAGAAAGGCTGGTGTATCAGTATGGAGTCGAGACGAATTCAGCTGTTCATTAACTTTAGGACTCAAATGGGAAATGTGTTTGAACTGTGCAGAAAAACCACGCAGTTGTGCACCAATTTCTCATTTAGTTTAGAGTCGTTTCCGACAATATAACGGGTAATGATTGCAAGCGACCAGATGATAAGCCTTCATATGATCTTCCGCCGACTCGGAACTGTTTTTAAGTTCGGCCACTAGTAGAAGATTAACTCTATCTTATGAGCAGATTTCATTCTGATGGGTAGATGGGATGACTGTTTTTGCCACTACAATGACCGATTCAACAATCGCAAGGTGGTTAGCCTGTAAACAGCCAATATAATAGATATTACAATAACAAATCAAGTGGATGACAGCAAGGCCACACTCACTTCCTCGGTGCCAATAACTTTATCCACATACACACACACACACATAGATGTCACGTGCCGCAACGCAGAAAGACGAGCTACTTGGAGGGTCATGGGTGCACACTAAATGTGCTCCACACATAACACAAGTTCATGATATCCTAATGCTTGTCCACAATTTTTAACAACACTGTGTAGGTTTGCATCTTAAGTTTCACTTGTGGTGTGTCGAATCAAGTCATTTCGGTAGAATCAGCAGAAGCCCCAAGAGGAGTTAGAAATACAGAAATATTATTTAACATGGCTTTGGTTTGTACAACCTATGGTTTTCAACCGGTCCCCATAGTTCAATAGTTCAGTGGTGTATGATTGGATAAAAAGCATAACTTTACAAGACCCACAGGATGGATACGCAAAAGCAACGTAAAATCAAATTGTTCCACCATTGCCGTTTATTAAACTGTTGTGTAGCTTTTAACACCAAGATGAAAGTCTACGAGTCTTTCGAATGTCGTCATGTCTGGTGCGTTCAAAACATATCTTGGTAATGCATTACAGTGAGAACAGATTCTAAGTAAGTACAAATAAGTTCTACAATTCAGACGGGCTTGTTGCGTCATTAGTTTCAGGTGGTTGCGTCGGCTTTGTTTTAAGGGGCTAGCGTTAACAGTGATGTACATGGATGCTCGCTTTCAGTTAGTATCCGGTATTTGAGTAGAAAATCTCCGCGAAGCCGTCGGTATTCGGAGGATAACACACCGAGTACACGAAGACGCAGCTCGTAACTTAGACCGGATACTCCACGGGTTGCCACAGTGGCTCTTCTTTGGGGTTGTTTCAATAGGCGAATGTCTCGTTTTAACCATGGACACCAGGCCTGAATTGCATATTCAATGTGAAGACGAATATAGGAGTTAAGCAGTATTGGTACTACCTGTCGCTTAAAGGTGCCGAGAGCTCACCACATAAGTCTCAAGTTCAAGTTCGCCACACTTGCTGCTTTCGAACATTGGAGCGAATTGCCAAGACTATCTTGCACTAGTACACCTAAGTCGCGTGCACTAGTCACGTGTTGCAGGACGTGTTGCCCCAAAAGATATGTGTGGACGAAGCTGCTGCGCACCGTCAGCAGGTGACACTTTGCAGGGTTCAGTGGGAGCTGGTTCGCTTCTGCCCATTCGTTAAGCCTGAAGCCAGATCATCCTGAAGCTAGACACAGTAGGATGCTGAGCGAATTACTCTCCATGTTTTAGCATCGTCTGCAAATATTTGCATCGGGGATAGAATGTCTGCTGGAAGGTCATTAATGTAGACTAAAAACAGTACCGGGTCGAGAACAGATCCTTGCGGTACACCACTGGAGACGAACAGGCCTTCAGAGTGAGTGTTGGCTACTCTTACCTTGATTGCTCTGTTGTGTAAGTAGTCTTCCAACCATGTGAACAGGAAACCGTTGATACCGTAAGCAGCAAGCTTTTGGAGGAGAAAGAAGTGATTGACCCTTTCGAATGCTTTAGAAAAATCCAAGTAAATCACCTCTGTGGGGACTTCTTTATCAGCCGCCCAGATCCAGGAGTCCCGAGTAATCAGCAAATTGGTGAGACAAGATCGTCTGCGTCTGAAACCATGTCGGGCATTAGAAATTATTTGTAGACTTGCAAAGTATCGTCTCAGTTCATCTGCGATTACCGATTCCATTACTTTTGATAAAACATAAAGGACAGGAATTGGTCGGTAGTTGACAGGATCTGATCGCTTACCCCTTTGTATATTGGAATGATAAGTACATTTTCTACTCCTATCGGAGTGTATGGGGGTTAAGCAGACCCTGGAAAAAGGCTGCATGTTGTGCTGCTATGGTGGGAGCAAGGGTTTTAAGTACTTTTGGGCAGATCATGTAGATTCCAGGGGCAGTGTACTCCAGGCGAGACTGTAATTTGCTTGTAACTGCTGCTGGGGTAAACTGGAGGCTGAATAAGCCAACGACATTTGTTGGCAGTTGATAGGGCGAAGGTTCTATGGTGCTTGTAGCTACCAAGCCAAACTGCAGGAGTAGAGCGTTCGCGGCATTCACAGCATTAGTTGTTAGGCCACTGGCCATCTTGAGTGGTGGTATTTCGGGCTTAACATTTCTTTTGCCATTCACAAATCTGTATAGTAGTTTGGTGTTACTCGTAAATTTCAACACCATGGTCTCCTGCCATTCGTACTTATGGACTCTACTGAGCGACGTGCAGTTGTTTCTGACTGGTTTGTAATTCTGCCATATGGTATCACATGGGCTTGGCGAATGTTATCTCCAGATCTCAACTCTCCTCTTGATCTATTTACGTGCTCTGCTTCGGATCCACGGATTAGTCCGGCGCAATGCTATTATTAGTACAACCTTCAATGCTGATTGCAGGATCCAGCTAATTTTATCTTTCAATTCCTTCCATTCGTTATTCGCTGAACTGTGCGTCGATAGGTCCCAATCAACGGTTGCCACTAAGTTGTGCAGCTTAAAATAGTCGTAATAGTTCATTGAGTCCCTCTTTCTTTAGCAACAATATTGACATGATACACGTAACCAAACGTTAGGACTGAATAGTCGCTACGGCCCAGTGGAGGATTGTATACTACTGACTCAACCATCAACTCTTCATTAGTCAGGATTAAGTCCAGGAGTGATGGCTTGTTTGAACCGCGGTGTCTGGTTGATCGATGCACATTGTGATACAAAACTGCTGTATCCATGAATTCAAGGAGCTTCAATTTAAATGATGGCCCATTAGGGCATAGTGACGCTAATGAAAGCACATTGAAGTCGCCCATTATAAGACAGTGAATTTTTTGTGAAACAGCATAACGAAGAGCGTTTAACAGAATGTTATCACTGTATGCTGGCGAGTTCAGAGACTTACAGATAACTGCTAAGAAGCAAGCATCTCGCGTCTTCTGTGAACCAATATCTCGATCTGCTAGGTGCAGTCGGCAAAATAGTGCGTCGGGAATAACAAGGGAAATTTCGGTAAGGACCTCACATTTCTAGTAATCTCGATAGTAGTGGGCAACACCGTCACCGCGAGACGGACGATCATTTCGAATGACTGACATCTCACTGAGTTCAATCTCTGGATCAAGTATGTCGCTTGAAAGCCAAGTTTCAGTAACTGCTATGAGGTCCCAAGTTTTTATGTCGATGGCGCACTTCCGAGAGCTTAGGATAAACTCCCTGAGTCTTGATGTAGCAGCATTGTATTTGTTGACGCATTAGGAGCTCGGTTCGGTGTGAGTGACCGGCACTATTTGTGCCGACCTACTGGTTTGTAAAGGGTTGTTTGCACAGTTGGCTGATCTGAGATAGGTACAACCGAGACTGGCTACTCTGTATCTGATGTCTGTACTAATTGAAGGAATGGTCTTAACCGTACTTCTGGTGGTCCAAGTTTCCTGTTGTCATGCCATGCTTGGATCACCACTGATACCATTTCAGATGCAGCCAAGGTAACTTTCAAAATTCGTGGTCCACTGCCCTGCTAGTTGGTGGAGGCAGCTAGATGTATGACGTCAAAAGCTACGACATTTGGCATGTCGTGGAGCTCTGTGATGTACAACCATGCTTCGATGTCGTGTTCCTGTCCTTTACTGCTAACGTCATGCTTCACTTCTGGCACACAATGAACCAGTACCACTTTCTTTATCTCATTTTGACGTGACGCACTACATTTGGATTTTCGCTTCTGTCTTTTTCCCACGGCCTGTCAGGAAAAGTGCAGGCACTGACAGAAGAGTTCACTATGTGACTTTCTAAAAGAACTGCATCCAGGTCGCGTGTGTTGTCAAGCGTTACTCGCAGTAACCGAGGTTCCCCTACGTGTGGAGATGATGGTTTTCGTGAAAGGCGTGTAAGACTAGTTGGGAGAACATTCAGTCTGAGTGCGCAGGTTATTTCAGCCCAGAGGTTTTGCTCTTCTGCTTGTTTACCTTTTAGTGTTTCGCTAGTGGGTTCTGGGACGTTTGAACATATCACTGTCATCGCCTTTTGGTTGCGTAGTAATTGTTTGTTCCGCAATTCCTTATGAGCGTAGGTTTGTGGAGTGCGAGCGTCTGGCTTGTCTTCCGTGGACGACAGGCCAAGGCTGCGGCAAGATTTTTACGTGCAACGCCGTTAGTTGCACTATCTGTAGGAGTCAATAGTTGTTGCCCAGCTACTGACGGAGGTGATCGTGCAATTTGTGCGTAACTCTGCATGCTTTGGAGTATTACGTGAGACTTGGGAGACCGTTTAACCGGCCTGTTTTCACTGCTGTTTTTCACTAACGGTGTTTGCCTTTCGCTGGACTGGGTAGCATTGTTGCTAGAGAGCTTTTGCCTTTTAACAGCTCCGGGATTCGGGCTACCTAATGCACTAATCTGGAACTCGAGTTCTGAGAATTTCCATTCCAATACCGCGATCAGTTCCTTTTGGTTTGCCTACATGACAGCCAACATCGCGCACCTTATCGCAAGCGTCTGAACAATCTTAATTATCGGAGTATCTGAACATAAGTCACGGAACCACAATCTATCTGTCGATACGCTGTTACCTTCGTTACGTGTAATGTGCACGTTTGTTGCGTATATGAATTGGCACAGAACGGACACGATGTGGAATTTCCTCATCAAGGATGGTAAGACGCAAGATGTATCGCCTCTCCCATTTATCATCCAGTACGCGTAGTGCTTCATCGCCAGCGTTCATTTTGTCCCCTCAGGATGGATCCACAATATAGTTATTGCGGCTTGTTCGAAGAGTATACATGATAAAACTTCGGATAGTTCCTTTTGGACATATTCTTTCTCTGTTTTGTTGCTTAGGCGAATCTGTCAGTGCCAGCTGCTTGCCCATAAGTGTCTGTATTCGGGTTGAAACTGGTAGGTGAGCAGCGGACAAGGAAGCTGAGTATGACAACACGTGCATTTAGCAGATAGGGAGTAACGCGTTGTGCGTTGGTGTAACGTCGGTGACTAAGCAGTTAACGTTGTTGAAAAACGAAACCAGTTGGAATGATGAAGGCGATACAGGCGTACTGTAAGGAGCGGCTTGATTATATACTACATAGTGATCGAGTAAAATTAATGTGGCCACAAGTTTGCCGACTGTGTTTTCGAAGCACTTACAACAGATGGTTATGTAGGCTGAACAACACAGCCAATATACTTGAAAATACTTTAGACGTTGCATCAGTGCTTAGCGTAGAGTTCACCTAAGCTCTTTACGTATCCAATGTTCAACAGACACTCATATGGTAGCATCCAAACCGGCTTTGCTCGACGGTCAAAGCCACTTGACCTGGGATATCAATGAGGTAAATTTTCTCTTCGGCACCATTTGCCACTGGACCTGAGGAACCGTAGTAACGCTACTTGAACAACAAGAGTGGGGTAAAAGATGACATTACTTTCACCGTTATCATTCCCAGACAAGCTTGTCCATGAATCAAGTAATTAAATGAGTGAGCAATAGACTAATGACCGTAGATCCCAACTGAATCCTATCTTACCCACAGCTCCAGGATGACGTCCTAAAGCGTTGAAGGCCGCTCACTATGTGGAGAAGCAGAGAGAAAAGGGAAGTCAACACCTGCTTGAACTTATTGGATAATCTGGTTAGGCGAACAATGTTCCATCATTGCAAACAAGTAAAATAATACTAAAGAAAATTAAACAACACCACCGTTTGATTGCACAACGCGGCTATGCTGGTCGCAAACGGGTTGAACTCGTCTTTAAACGTAACTAAAACAGATAGCCATGAAGCACACGCACATGTTCGTTTCAGTTAAGTGAGACGCAATCGAACTTACTCTTCCTCACTTGAATCAAATCGGGCCGCATGCCAACCATGAAGCACTTTTTCAAGCGGCATGCTGGACACTCGCGACGTGTTGCCGGCGTAATCTCATGTTCTCCGGTCTTTGAGGTGCAGGTCAACTCCTGTGGGCACAGCAGGCGTCCAGTCAACGGTAGCCAGCGGGAATGAACACCACAGCAGGCGATGAAGTGCGGATGGAAGGGAGATGAAAGAGACCCAAAAAAGTGATTGATCAAATGGGTCACAAAGTGGGTTTGTGCACACCGATTAATGTCAAGTTGCATATCATTGGCCTGCTTGACGGTTGCATGATGGGCGTGCGACGCAAAAACTAGGTAACAACGCATGGAGGTTCGGTAACCACATGGTAGATGTGTCGACTTCATTAATTTCACTCAGCGATTGCGGAGTGTAGTGCACGTGTTTGCGAAATACCCCCCTCCTCTTCATGGCTGTGTGTGTGTGTAAGTACGACCCCGTTTATCAACGAGAACCCGAAGGTAAACCAGTGGCTGCACAGGTGGACAATTTTTGCTTTCATCACCCATCGGAACGTTTGTTCAGGAAGTCAAGTGAAGGATACTGGCTTTGTAAAATTACATGGAAGCGTAGAGACGGTTTTTATTTTGCCGTAGTCGACTAGTGTGACATCTGTGTTTCTGCTTTGTCTGACGGTTGAGAACAGAGTCTTCAACCTGGTCACTGAGCACATGTCCAATCAATCACCCATTGAATCAAAAATCATCGGATTAGCTCAACAGGGAACAGCACACTGAACAATACAACTTTACAGACAAAGTCGTTTCCTGTCTATTACATAGGTTCCACAACGGATGTCCACGGATATACTATGCTGTCACTGCGTTGTTGCGCACACTATACACTATATATACGCATACTATACTTTATACTCATTAGTACATAGTATATTCGCCTAATGAGGGTACAAAGCTCCTCAGTTGAAGTTAAGGGCATCAGTGCTTAAAAAGTATGTTTGAACTCCGAACACCCAAACCCTGTAAATACAATGTAAATGGAATTAGTTATCTGTACGATAGCTAAATGTGCAGAATGTTGGTTAAAGTTTCCCTTCAACCAGGTAGGTATGCAAAAATAGTGGACCAACACGCACATCGTGGACGGAGATGAAGGCATGCAGGTGAACACGCCTAAGCACACATACAAACACACACACACACACACGTGCTAGAGGGTGTCAAACAATGTCTAGCAACGAGAACAATGCGGGTTGGGTGGAATTCAACAGGTTTTTGGATCAGTATCACACTTCGTTTTTCCATTTTTGCGCTTTTGGAAACTTATTCCAATCTATTGGTCCCAAACCGGATCGCCAAACGTTACTGTAGAAACAAGTGCCACTCTAATCAGGTGTTGTTCTGTGGCCACATGCCGCTATAAGTGCGTAAGCGGGTAGCTACGGCCAACTCTTCCAAAGTTGGCAGAGTCAACGAAATGTAGCCAGCAGACGGACATAGAATCAGATTCACCAACCGATTGGGCTAACTGGGATCGCCGTCGCGGTGAGCGCGCCCACCCAAAGGCAAGGAAAATGTAGTCCAGACAGCCACCACAGAAGCATAAAATGTTCAATCTAGAAACGGAGCCGACCACTTTAAAACACAAGTGGAAGTTGTGCAAGCAAGTCATTCAAACTCGGTATGTAACAGCGAAACACAGTCAGGAAATTTTGGTGTGATTCCACGCAAGAGCGTTGGCAGGCCTCAATCACCGGTTAGCAAAATTGTAACCGTGAGTTGATGATTACTTTAGTACGGCAGTCCTACTTCGACAACAATCGCATATTTAGTTATGTTCCAGAAGTTTGCGATATTTTGGGAAGAATCTCTTTGCTCAGTACACTCTGAATAAATAAGAGGACAAACTTTGGTCCACTTGCTGCTTGAGGACTCAGATTGTGGTAGGATGAAGTGTGAAATACCAGCACTTCATGAGTAATCGTTTAAGGCTGGTAGCAATTTACAACCATTTAGTGCCTGGAAACAAACGTTCACTACAGGTATACCCACCGGCTGCCTGAGGTAAGCGGTATTCATTGGGATGCATCGTAGCAAATCAGTTAGCGGGGCAGCAACAGATTTTCGGAAGTTAGTGGAGGTCACACTGTATTTGAAATGCCCTGCACTGCAGCTATATTTCATGAAGACATTATAACTTCCTCAAGCTATCTGTGCAGCCGTATGCCCGACACCACATTATGTGCTTGCAAAATAACGGACAGGTGAAGTTGAAGTTTTCTCCCATTCAGATTAAAGCACGTTTCCGGTCGAAGCATTGTATAGGAGTGTTTACGTGATCCAAGCAGAAGGCGCCTGAGAAACAGACTAACCCAACTACACTGACCGATCAGCTAGGCTGGCCAGTGATGACCACGTCCGCTTGACCGGCTGGAAGCTGTGGCGAGGGAGTGGAATCGAAGTCTGCCATCCAATCGCGCCTACATTCCTTTTATCACACAAGTGTGTGGTTGGCCAGGTCGCAAGACAACAACGATTAGTTAAACTCATGTAGACCGACCATTTGGCTCGATGTGAGATCAGATGTCCAAATGTTCCTCACCTATGGGTTCGATTCATGTGAGCGACCCGATAGGGTAAGACAGCTGACGATGAGACAATTTTGCTGGCGGTTACCTGTGTGGCCACCTTAAAACAAATGTATAACCTCAGTTGCAGATTCAGCTTTAAATGCTTTGTCAAGAACAGTGACAATGGTTGCACAGGTACCAGCCGTGCCACGCTGTTTCAGCCGGGTCAGCTTTGAATGACCGACGCGTTCTTGACTTCAAGCCGAATGTGACATATGTGAGTCCGTACTGTCACCTACATTGCGGACACTAGGAGTTTGCTGATTACTTTCCAGATGTACAGGTCATAGTGTTCATGACAATGCCAGCGAATGTTAGCCTTGTGAAACGGGCTGTAGTGTACTCATCAATTTGTGTACGTCTGTTAAGCCTGTTCCGCTTATTTTATACGGAGAATGTGCATGCTAAAGAAATGTGGCATGGCTCCGAATCATCGTGACTTCCGATCGCTTATCTCCGAACCCTAATTCTTCGAATTTACACTGTATTTGTGGTGTGTTGATAAAAATGTAGGTGAAGGAAACCAGACCATACATCATTTCTCTGTATCAGATGACAGCATGTATGCGCTTACAGTTACGATGACAGGTAAGCCATACGGAAGATGATCTATGCAACCGGACTGTGTCATGAGACACCCAGCAGTCTTTTGGCATCTGATGCTGGATCTAGGCAGTGGCCATCTGCAGGATTATAGCATAGATGTCAGTCGACCCGATTAGCTATAGACTAATGTGGGTCTTGAAAATTATACTCCTGCTATCCGATGGTGTGTGTGTATACGAGTGTGGTCCAAGATATTAACTTATTTTACCAAATATACTGCACCCAATTGATCGTTGAGCGTGAATGGTGCGTTATGGAACGTTCGTGATCCTTGCCATTTGTGAGTTCCTCAAACATGATTGCATATTCAATCTGCAGACTGAACGTATGGGGTCCACAAGAGTAGGTCACGCATTGGAAACAACTTTACCGTCCTAAAATTCCGTGATTCATATAATTACTCCAACTAAAACTTGACCCAACTGGAAGTGAGACTTACGGAGTTTGATGGAAAGAGGAATATTTTTCTTTCGGAAGCAACTACTATCACACGTGACCAGCTGCGTGAGACGCAACTTGGATCCACCTATCCGAGATCCCACCTGAATTATTCGTATAACAACAGCTAACTTATAACTACTCATCATGTATTCAATTATATTTTTAATGCCATATTTAGTTTACAATTTCCAACGATTTAAACATAAAACGGTTTTGCCATCAAAAAAATGAAACAGAGTTTCTCCCGGTTTCCAAGAAAAAACAACGTTTACAGCCCCTGTCTACAAGAGTAAATTATTCCGTAACTACACAAACACGGTGGCTCAGAAATGAACCATATCTACACAACGACCATAAAAGCTTTTATGTTCTCCTGTTAAAGGCAAACCATACCTACTAAACGACCGACCGACTGGGCCGACCCAAGTCAGAAAAAAAACGCGCCAAAGCACAAATGAGGCATATTTTATGTTTCATGAGCTAAGGCTGTATGCACACGAAGAAAAACGTGCTTGTTTAGCCAAACAGTTTTAGTTACACCCATACATGAGGTGAAAATGGCAAAATGTCAACCACGCTCTTCCGACGAAGTCTCCTGTATCCTTGGCATTAGCCATTGATCCACACGCCAATAGATTAACGGGTTAAGCAGCTAAGGATTGAACAGAGAATTTGGCCGATCAGACAAGGGGGTGATCGCTATGAATAACATACAGAAACCCCAACCTATGGAACAATGGAACAATACGGGTAAAAAGTTAATACTTGACAACTCCCGTAGGATTGTCTGTGTGAAATACATAAAAGCCCAGAGAACAGATTAGGTGTAGGTTTTTAAGTCTTCCTGAGTTTTTCTCTACAGTAATTTTAACCACCCACAAAAGTGGTATTGCAGGAAGGGTTTGACTAAAGCTTTGGGTGACTCAGCCGTTGGGCAATTGCAAAGCAATGAGTTCAAAAGGTCATAAATAATCACCGCATTGCTGCCTGTTGCCTAGGAACTTAGGTGATCAAGGTTGGCATAAGAGACATCATCGGAACGACACAGGGAGGTTAGAAAACTATGGCTGGCTGTAATAAATGAATGGTAAAGTCGTTCCACAGTATTATCAAGAACAGTGAACTTAAAGTAGTCGTCAACCTACTTAACCTTTCCGTGATTTCAGCACCGATAGGCAGAGAAATGCGACTCTTTGTTTTCTGCTGTGGAATTCTCAATTCGAAGCCTGACTTTGGCCGATCCGTTGCACACATCAATTGACAATTTGTACATACCGACCGCTCCAGCGTGTCGTCCCACACCATTGTTGCAACTGATGTGCGTTCATTCTTAAGTTCATCATAAGTAGTGAGAACTTCCGATGATTTAACCGGGAAGTGGAAAGCATTTAGTTATTATGAATTTTACTGGCATCAAGTGTTTCAGGAGTATGTCTTTTGCATCGTTAT